TTGAAAAAGAGTTATTGGATTTGGAACGCGCCAAAGCAACGCTGAGTTTGATTTTAAATTTTTAAAGTGTTTGCGTTTATACCAAATATGGTGATGAACAAATTTTTTTACTGGTATATTTTTCTGTCAAAGCTTGTAGTAAAAATAACAACTAATACGGCAGAAATTTATATAAACAAGGATCAATTCATTCATAACGGATCTGGAGGTTTTTGTATACTATTTGAATTGTTTGCGATGATGGATGTCTCGCCATTTAAATCATTAACCTTTGCATTAGTTTTGTGTGAATAATTCATGTATTTGTAAATTGATTGCACGTTTATTGTAATATATATATATATATATATATATATATATATATATATATATATATATATATATATATATATATAGGTAACTACACTTATTTCGGGAAAACTTTGGTTTCTTCATTTGCTAATGGTCAAATCAATTTCGAAGACAAAAAGGTTTTTTTTAAAAGAGCTAGGAACATGAACGTCTGTCGAAAATAATCGTACAGTATACAGCTCTAAAGACCAAAGAAAAAAAAAACCGATACGAGTAATCAACTAAAAAGTGCTCAATACAAGGGTAGAGGAGACCTAGTCAAACCTAGAGAAGACAAACCTACAAAGGTTTCACCTAAGCGGATCGTCAGGAGAGCTAGCTTTCCCTGACGATCCGCTTAGTTGAAACCTTTGGTAGGTTTGTCTGGCTCTCTAGGTTTGATTATATATATATATATATATATATATATAAATAAAATAAAAGAAAGAACAATAAGATATAAAATCCGGTGTTCTTATAGATATTTTTATTTTACAGATAGTGCTCAATGTAAATTTACAGAGCATTAATATTATAAATTAATTGATTTAATTTATTATATATATATATATATATATATATATATATATATATATATATATATATATATATATATATATATATATACCACTTACACACGCATATATATACACACATATATATGTGTGTATATATATGTTGAATAACAATATCTATTTTTTATATATCAAGAAATTTTAGGAGAAAACTTTGACAAAGAGGAAAAGGTTTTCTTTCTCGTACTCAGACTTACTCATTTATATATATATATATATATATATATATATATATATATATATATATATATATATATATATATATAATATATGGATATAGATCCGACAGTATGAAGAAAAATATACAGAAAAAACAAACAAAAATCTTAATATGCAATTATGCTGTATTAATGTTAATATAAAGTCAACGGACGTTTCGGTCTATTTTAGACTATCTTCAGGACATTTTCATTTAAACATAATTAACATTAGAACATATAAAAATTCAACACGAAAAGACGATGGGCATAAGAGCACAACTAATCCAAACAGATAACTGAAATTTTTATATAAGATCAGCGTTCCGTTTAAATATGATCACGTCGTCGTCACGTGGGCGATGTTGTGAAAACGTATTCGAAGATGATTTCCAAATATTAAAATATTAAAAAAGTCGATTGAACTATTTTATATAAACAGTTCAAGAAATCCCTTCCGTTGATATAGAGATCAATAGGTTCTTATATCTTCATACAAGCTTGAAGTCCTCCACGTTACAAAGCAAATCAAAAATGATTTCAAAAATATCAAAACGATGGAACAATTTTAAAAACAGTTCGATAATAAATCCTTTCCTTACTTGATCAATAGATTCTTATATTTTCGTACAAGCTTGAAGTTTTCCATGTTATAAAGTATATTTATATTCACATTAATACAGCATAATTGCATATTAAGATTTTTGTTTGTTTTTTCTGTATATTTTTCTTCATATATATATATATATATATATATATATATATATATATATATATTAATTATCTTGGTAACAAGTAACCCAATATTAAGTGTCACATAGTCGGATCATCTACGACTAAACCGGCTCCATCATCAGGCTTCTTTTATCTTTTATTTTTTTATCTTTTTTGTGAATAGTGTAGAGAGAAACATTTTGGGATATATATATATATATATATATATATATATATATATATATATATATTCATGAATATAAAAAAATATATATTCATACAAAAAACAAATACAAAGGTTAATGATTTAATTGACGAGAAATCCATCGTCGCGAACAATTCAAATAATATACAAAAACCCCGAACCTGTTTATGAATGAAAAGATCCTTGTTTTTATAAATTTCTGTTGCATAAGTTCTTATTATTTTTAAAAGCTTTAGTCTGTTCCTACAGACATCCTCAGGTATGGAATAGATTTTGTTCTTGTTTTTACTCTCAGTAATAAGAGGACAACGAAAATATATGCATTGTTGTAATCCGAAAAATGCTATTAGAAATGTGTTGGAGCGTGCAGTCGCAACGCTGAGTTTGAATTTAAATATTTGATTTTAAATATTTGAATATGTAAATATTTGAATTTAAATATTTAAATATTTAATTTGAATATATATATATATATATATATATATATATATATATATATATATACAACTTAGATACTGATATATACTAACATATGTATGTGTGTGTATATATAACACTATTTATCTTTTATATATCTAGAATATTTTTAGGTGAAAACTTTGACAAAGCAGAAAAGGTTTTCTTATAACATGTTTCGACTTTTAGGACTTCATTAGAGTAAGATTATGTATAGGTTGATGTGACTGCATATGCGCATGGATGAAAGCGACGGTCTTAACTTTAAATACAAAATACTCTCTTCTTATTTAATATGTGTTTTGGGTATATAATGTAGCTAATTTCATTTAATACTTTTTTTCTTTTCATTTATGTCTCCATCACTTTTGTTATCTAATATGTGTTTTGGGTATATAATCTATATTTAATCTATATATAATCTATATATGATCTGTATATAATCTATATATAATCTAGCTCATTTGATTTGATACCTCTTCTTTTTGCTTATACCTCTTTCGCTTTTGTTATTAAATATCCCACATAACAGAAATATTCTGGACTCAAATTTACTACAAGCTATATATATATATATATATATATCTATAAATATATATATATATATATATATATATATATATATATATATATATATATATATATATATATACATACATATATATATATATATATATATATATATATATATATATATATATATATATATATATTATGAATTAATTGATTTTTTTTTTCCGCTACACAGTTCTAACTATGTTTCAAAAATGGAAGAAAACCGTGAATTTAATTTTGCAATTAAATTAAAGACATTAGTTCCATTTCATCCTCAAGCGAATTTTGGAGTAACTTTTAAAATTACTGCGTTTTAAAGACACAGATAAAATCACGTTTCCATGGTTACAGATAAATTCGTGGATTTTAGCTTCCATTTTTGAAACATGGTTAGAACTGTGTAGCGGAAAAAACATATTTTAAATCAATTAATTTATAATATTAATGCTCTGTAAATTTACATCGGGCACTATTTTGTAAAAAATAAAAATACCTATAAGAACAACGGATTATATATCTTACTGTTTCTTTTATTTATATATATATATATATATATATATATATATATATATATATATATATATATATATAAAAATATATATATCTATACATATATATATATATATATATATATATATATATATATATATATATATATATATATATATATATATATATATATATATATATATATATATATATAGATATAGATAGATAGATAGATAGATAGATAGATAGATAGATAGATAGATAGATAATATTTGTGGAAAATATACATACATATGCAAAATATATAAATACCCATACATGTATATTTTTAGAAAAAAAAATTCAAGAGGAAGAATCCAGGTAGAACTCAATGTCTAGGACAGAGTAAGGATATAATAAAAAGGCTTAAACACTAATATTCCATGGTCATAATTTATTCCATTGGAATCGTAAATACGATACAATTCATCAGTCCTACATATTCAAAAAGAAAAAAGAAAAACCCACTCCGGAAATAAAAACAGAATTTAGAGAGAGTGTAAGTATGAGGAGGAGGGAGATTAAACCTAACAAAGATCCTTAATATAGAGAACCTTAATATATATATATATATATATATATATATATATATATATATATATATATATATATATATATATAGAGAGAGAGAGAGAGAGAGAGAGAGAGAGAGAGAGCAGAGTTGAATTCCATTCGAATCCGTTAATACACTTGGGAAAGATATGAATCCTCTTCTTCTTCCCCGCCACCAGTTATGGCTAAATAGCAGTATAGACTGGGTTCTATAGCCTTGGATGGTAATTGTTCTAGGAAAAGGAAAACTCTGAATTCAAAACCCGATTTGTGGCACACGTTGCACCAGGTCTGTATTCGGACCTTTAATAAGTGTGTTTGGTTGGGCACAAAACCTTCACCACTATAATCAAATCATATATGCTGGTGTCTGGGCGTCGGTTCCTAGGAAGTGAGCTACTTGACCCTCATGCATCGAATACGATAGGAGCATCCACCATATATATATATATATATATATATATATAAACCAGGAAATTATGTATACCCACGGAGTAAAATTAAAATGGTAATAAAGCGTTGATGGAGGAGGGTGAGGGAGTTGTCAAAGTAACCAAAGTACTTATTTTGACGTGAAACGAAACAAAGACATTGATTTGAAAGAACTGAATTCTGGAAAAAAAAAAGGTCACTCTGCTCCAGTGAATGTGAATGGAGTCAAAAAAAAATATCAGAATAAATAAATGTGAAAAAATATTTGTCTTTGACACGGAATTACCATATTTGGAATCGACAAACATTACAATTATTCTCCTTCCGAAAATTTTACCGTTTGGTGGCGAATTGCAAATGCCAATACTTCTGGCCTTTTCTTACGGGTCAATTTTTCTTTGTCTTTCTTACCTGTTTTTTGTTTGTTTTGTTTTTTTGCATGAGCGACAGGTGGATTCAAACAGAGAGAAAATGTGGAGTAAGTACAATGGAATGGGAATGAAACCTGCAGAAAGAGAAAGAAGAAATGGTTAAGAACCAGCAGAAAGAGAAAAAGAGAAAGAATGAGAGAGAGAGAGAGAGAGAGAAAATTTCCACAGAGAAAAATAGTTCAGGGAGGGAGACCGTGGAAAAGAAGGAGGAGATTTCCGTAGTATAAACTGATATGTAGAAAGGAATGTTCACAGAGAAAGAGAAAAAAAGTAAGAGTGACAGAGAGAGATAGGGAGATGTGTAGAGTGGTAAAGAGAAGAGAATGCAATTTGGGGAGAGAGAGAGAGAGAGAGAGAGAGTAAGGGGGAGAAGGAATCCAAAGAACGAACATGTAAAATCGCGGACAGAGATCGAGTCGTGCAAACAGAGAGAAAACTTGGTGTAAGTATAATGGAAAGGGAATGAAACCTGTAGAAAGTGAAAGAAGAAGAGTTACAAATCTGGAGAATGACAGAGAGAAAGAAAGAGTGAGAGAGAGAGAGAGAAAGAGTGACAGAAAGAGATAGATAGATAGATAGATAGATATAGATAGATAGAAAGAAAAAAGTTCCAAAGAGAAAAAAACATAGTTCAGTGGGGAGATGTAGAAAACAAGAGGGAGATTTCAGATAAAAAGATGGGTAGAGAGGAATGCTCAACACACACACACACACACACACACACACACACACACACACACACACACACACACACACACACACACACAGAGAGACAGACAGATAGACAGAAAGAGAAAGTGTGAGTGAAAGATAGAGAGAAAGAAAATTTCAGAGAAAAAAGATAGTTCGGATGGGAGTCTGTGGAAAACAAGAGGGAGATTTCTCTATAAAAGAGAAGGATCTCTCTCTTCTCTCACACACACACACAGAAAGAGCGAGACAGACAGAAAAAGAAAAAAAGTGAGAGTGAGAGAGAGAGAGAGATAGAGAGAGAAAAAGAAAGTTCCACTGGAGAAAAACATAGTTCAGTGGAGAGGCCGTGGTAAACAAGAGGGAGATTTTCATAGTATAAAGAGTTGTAGAGAGGAATGCTTACAAAGAGAGAGAGAGAGAGAGACGGAGAGATAGGGAGAGATATATAGAGTGTTATAGGGAAGTGCCTGCAATTTGGAAAAAAAGAGAGAGTAAGGGGAGAAGGGCTCCTCCAAAGAACCAACGTGGAAAAACGCGGACAAAGATCGCATAGAGCAAGCAAACAGAGAAATCATTGAGTAAGTACCATTGAAAGGGAATGAGACCTGTAGAAAGCGAAAGAAGAATTAAAAACCCTACAGAGAGAGAGAGAGAGAGAGAGAGAGAGAAAGAGAGAAAAAGTGAGAAAGAGAGAGAGAGAGAGAGAGAGAAGAGAGAGAGAGAGAGAGAACTAGAGAGAAAGAAAGTATAATTCCCACATAAAAAAAAATAGTTCAATGGAGACGCCGTGGAAAACATGAGGGAGATTTCCGCAGTATAAAGAAAAAGTAGAGGGGGAATGCTCACAGAGAGTGAGAAAAAGTGAGGGACACAGAGAGATAGGGAGAGGTATAGAGTGGTAAAAGGAAGAGCCTGGAATTATAAAAAATAAAAAGTGAGAGCAATGGGGAGAAGGGATACACAGAAATAACATAGAAAAAAACCTACCCAAAATGAAAGTAGAAAATAGAAAATGAAAGTATGGAGGTGCAAAATGATTTGAACAGAAAATGATCCGTCAAAATGATTCTTTACTGTTTAATTAAAAAAAATGGTTTTGGAAGTTAAAAACGCTAATACTCGTATCATGCTAAAAATGCCATTTTTTTCCGGATAAAAATGAAAATAAAATTTAAATTCTCGTATCTGGTAAAAACGCGAACTTTCCTCTCGCCACGAACAAAATGGCCGTTGCTGATGGGAATTGCTGATGGGTAAGTGAAAAAGTCTAAATTTCTACCCTAGTAAAAAACACCAACAGTTGTATCCGGTTAAACAACAATGTTACCGATCTTTTTACCATCCTCTCTCCCTCCGCCAAAATGTTCATTGTTGATGTGAATTTGAAAAATCCAAAATTGTTACCAAGTAAAAACTCCAATATTTGTATCCCCGTAAAAAGAATTCGTTATTTTTTTACTCTAGTAAAATCCTGAAAATTCCACTTTTCCCTCCCCATCCCAAAAGTGATCATTTTTGAAGGGAAGATGAAACGTCTAAATTGCTACCTAAGCAAAACCGCTAATATTTGTACCCACGTTAAAAAAAAAATAAATGGTCAATTTTTTTTACATTTTTAATAACATGAATATTCTACTCCCAACTCGCAAAATGGTCATTGTTTACATTTGTTTTAATGTTGTATTGGGGGAATTAATATATCAGATTCCAATTTGAAAAAAAAAGTTATATGGAAAGTTGCCATCTATGGTGTAACAGGTAAATTTAAAAAAAAAACAAACAAGGACACATGGCACAGTGGATAAAGGCGTTGCTTAGATCCAGTGACAGGACCCAAAGAGTTGTGAGTTCAATACCTGGTTAAGGCTGTGGAGAACTTGGAGAGCGGAATTAACAGCAGATAACTGACATCCATTAGACATGGCACGTGGAACAAAAAAAGTCTACCCCAGTGAGCGAAATAAAGGGTTCAGTTCGATATTCCAAACACCTAAAGAAGGCCGGAGCATACAACGGCCGAAACGTTGTAATAAATATGGCTACAAAAATGAGAACAATATTCCAAATAATGTAAATAGTGTACATAATACCTCATCTTAGAAATATAGACATATAGGTGTTATCTCTCATGGAATTTCCTTCCTAACCTTCTGTTTGAAGTAGTGTTGAATGCTAACATCTCGTTATTATTTCCTCTTTGAGTTACACGTGCTATCAGTTAGAGTTGATTCTGCTGTTGGTAACCAACAAGTTTTGCGCTTTTTGTTCTTTGGCACAGTTATTTGTGATTCTGTAGCGCCAATAAACAATGTTCATAGGTGGATGAACTTTGTCAAGTCTTTTATGCTTTACGGTCTGAAAGCATTTAGAAACAGATATGCAATATGACTGGTCCTGATCTGGCATCTCGTTTACAACCGCTGTCTCACAGACTTGCCGCCGCTTCCCTCTGTCCTTTCTACAAATACTTTCACGGTAAATGATCTGACGACCTACTTTCTCTGGTTCCCAAACTGCATGAATTTAAACGTGATACTAGGTTGGTATGTCACTCCCACCCTTTCACTGTCGAAACGGTTAAATGTAGCCGTCTCTTCTACTCGAATAGCTTCATATCTCGCACTTCCCGCCTGTGGAACTCCTTTCCTCTTACTTGCTTCCATGATAGCTATATTATCCAAATATTCAAATGCAATGGCTTGATCGATTCCCCGTCCTTCTCTTCATACTTTCCTCTATCACACCTCTTTACTCTTGCTCCCACTATTTGTAAACCCTTGCGTGGTCGTGGCGCACCCGTTTTGCTTGGGCTGAAATGCTCATATATATATATATATATATATATATATATATATATATATATATATATATATATATATATATATACCCCATCTCATATATATATATATATATATATATATATATATATATATTGCGTACGCTCTCATGTGATTACATTCAGACCAGATAGACTCAACAACACACACACATACACACACACACACATATATATATATATATATATATATATATATATATATATGTGTGTGTGTGAAAAGTGTGTATATAAATATAAATATTCATATATATCTGTACATAAATATATATATATATATATCTGTATATATAGAGATATACAAATATATATATATATATATATATATGTATATACACACACACATATATATATATATATTTATATATACATATCTATACACACACACACACACACATATATATATATATATGTGTGTGTGTGTGTATGTGGGGTGTCTTTCGCATATTGTGTTACGTATGCAAATTCCGTATGACTCCTCAGCATCACTCCTCCTCTCCCAGTAATATTTGTCTCATCTTCGTCGAAGTTCTAACAAGGAAATATTCTTTTGCGTCATAATTATTGATGACTATTTGAAGGAAAGGAGACAGAAAAAACTCATCAAAGGATACAAAAAAAAAAAAATCAAACATTAATGAAAATAGAGAAGCGTTTTTCATTTTTCCACGGTTCTTTCAACTTTGTTTTCTAATTCCACTTGATTTAAAAGTGATTGTGTTTGATCTGAAGCAAGCAGCTCCTCTTTGTTTTGACTGTTTCATTTTAATTTAAAACGCAATGCAATAAAAATTCAAAGACTTTTTAGATTTTCTGAAAGAAGATTTACATATATATATATATATATATATATATATATATATATATATATATATGTATATGTGTGTTTGTGTGTGGGTATGAGTGTGTCTGTGTATATAAATGATGCGATTGGGAAACTGTCGTCATTTTATATAATTAATTTCACGCATGCGCCTTGTTTGTTTTTGATTTTGTCGAATGCACAATATAGTTGGGTCAGTTGGGCACCGTCTATTACAAAAAGAGCACCTTCACGCAATTCAGTCTGCCAAAAATTTGGAAACACAATGATGTGTTCCTTGGCATTTGCGCCGGAAACCATAATGCAAATATTTCATATTGTTTGGGTCTCAATCCGAAGTCAGTGCAGAGAATTCAGAAAGATTTGGATGAGTCTAATGGGGATTCCGAATGTACGGCAGCTCGGAAAACTCAATCTGAAAAGCGAAAACTCCCAAATTTGTTGGTGAGCAAAAGAAACTCAACACGGAGGCCTACATCAAGTGCCTTCAAGAGTTACTGCTGCCCTGGGTCAAGAGGGTGGCAGATGGAGCAGGACAATGCACCATACCACACAAGCAGGAGAATCCAATCATGCCTGTGAGATAATTTCTGCGGCCAGATCATCCCTTGAAACTGACCAGCAAAACACCGTGTAAACCAAGGCAGGATTGAAGGCAAGGATTATAACAGGATTCAAAATTTTAAAGAAGATACCATTCTCACGAGTTGCAGGAGATTCTGAAGTCATCTGGAGGCCGTGCTTGAACCCAACGAAGCGTTTTATTAAATAAATTTACTCTTTAGAATTTCAAGGTATTTTTGTGTAAGTTTGATAAATATATCTGTTAAAATTAGATGTCAATGTTATTTCAATTTTTGCGTAATTTATATGACAATTTATCCATCGCACAGTTTTTATATATATATATATATATATATATATATATATATATATATATATATATTGTAAAAAATAATCATGCAAAGAATAAATCAATAAAGTTAATGTAATTAATGAAGAATTCACTTTGCTAACAGTTGAAGTAGGCATTAACTCACTGACCACTCGCTGAACGACATGATCCTTGTTTTTATTAATTGTACAATGGGTTAGATGTTGGGCCCACATTCCTTGCAAGTACTTTCGGTTTAAACATTTACCATCCTCAGTCATAGATGCTATTTTTTATCCTCAATTTCAGCTAATTTAGGGTAAAGTCCCAAGACGAATATGAATGTCATAATTGTCGAAAGATTATTAACACTTAAGGTTTTTTTGTATGCGCAGTAATGCAATGCTAGAAATTTGAATATTGCAGCGATGTAGCAGTTCACAATTTCTATTATTGTAATTGTTTGTTTTTTTTTTCTTTGACATGGCACGGATATTTGGTTCAATAATTAGAGCAATGTCTTAGAAGATTCCATTTTTTTCACTGCAGATCGAACCTTTTTTAAAATTATTAAATAATGCAGCTTAATTAATAATGTAAAATAGTCATTCAAAGAATAAATCAATAAAGTTAATGTAATTAATAGCGAACTCACTTCGCTAACAGTTTAAGAAGGCAGTAACTCACTGCTATTAGAAATGAGTTATTTTTTTTGGAGCGTGCAGTAGCAACGCTGAGTTTGATTTTAAATTTTACTGTTGTGCGTTCTTGTACAAATATGGTGATTAGCATTTTTCGGATACAACAATACATATATTTTCGTTGTCCTCTTATTACTGAGAGAAAAAAAACAAGAACAACATCTATTCCATACCTGAAGATGTCTGTAGGAACAGACGAAAGCTTGTAAAAATAAGAACTAATGCAACAGAAATTTATAAAAACAAGGATCTTTTCATTCATAACAGGTTCGGGGTTTTTTGTATATTATTTGAATTGTTTGCGACGATGGATTTCTCGCCAATTAAATCATTAACCTTTGTATTTGTTTTTATATGAATAATTCATGAATATATATATATATATATATATATATATATATATATATATATATATATATATATGCACGGACATATAATTTAGTATTTGGACAGCTATCCCACTTTCATATCAGGTTTATTATGTATGTATTTTTTATTCTAGTGTCATCAGCTGTATTATAAATTCTTAGCCACATTCGAAAGTGAATCGCTGCATTCCCAAATATCTAATGGAAGACTTATCAAATTTATGACTAGAAAATTTGCCACAGTTTTTACTTCAAGACGATTCTTTTGTCAGAATCAATTACGTTAATAAAAATGACCCTCTTTCAGAACTTACAGCATTTGGATCAATTATAATTTTAGCTATTATATCGGCTATTAATATATAAGAATATTTTCGGATAATCAAACAACAGGTTCGCTTTGCTTTTATCATTTAAAAATCAGTTCACGCGAACCACTAGAGTAGCGCCACTAGTTAAATTCCTTCTTGAAAATCATCTTCTTGAAATGTGATTTGGATACCGGTGTTTTACCTGAAATGCCTCTATGCAAATACGTACAATGTATTTACAAACATATGTATATTGGTGTGTTGCTATCCTTCTTCTTTTATGTACCGTGCCTCTTCCGACCGTAGGCAATCATGGCTTTCCACAATATATTTCGTAGTTATCTCCCTTGAATCTTATTCTTCCGTCAATTAAACTAAAGCTCACTAGCTAGTTTATTCGTTGTTTTCCTTTGTTCTCTTTTCTTTCAAATTGTACTGTGAGTGTCAAGTTTGCCAAACCTTCTTTCCTCATTATGTGCCTTAGCGATTGCAACTGTCTCTATCTTATGTTAATTATAAGACTACATTTTTTCTATGTGCCTTGAAAGGTAATCACTGATTTGTTAATCTGATTCTCTGTAGAACGCTAGATTTAATGACGTTATAAAAACAAGCGCAAGTCATTTATGACGGGATGGCTAACAAAATTCGGTGTGTGTCTGGCGTTCGTGTTTCCTTGTCCAATTTGACTCGGAAATCAAATTTCGCCGAGTTATTCTAGGAATAGATCATTTGCAATCTTATTGCAAAGTAAGACGATTACAGTGATTTATATTTGAGATTCAGTCAGTGTTTTTATTGTCGAACTTTATCTCAGTAAAAGGGAACAAATACAGGAAAACGCAAGAATTCCGGTGGAGCGACGAAGACCCGATCCAAATGACTGAAGTAGTTTTTGGCCTCTGGTCACCTGATAAGATTGCTGGGAATTGGTCCAGCTATGACGTAATTCATCGCGTTTAGTGGACAAGTAGACAGTCTGATTACGTAGAGTGACTGTTGAAATTGAGTCAGGACAAGAGGACAGTTGTTGCTTAATATATTAGACGTAAGAGAATGGATCAATTTGAGTAAAGTAAGAGAGGGGGAGAGGACGCAGAGACATAGAGAGAGAGATAGAATGAAAGAGAGAAAATATTTTCTAAAGAGAGGAACTATTGAGAATAGGACGTGGGTGGAAAGGTGATGAAGAAAGTGGAAAATGGAGAAACAACAGTGCGAAACAGAATAGCGTTGAGTAGGGGCCGGAAATGTCAGAGAAAAAGAGAGAGAAAAGAAAGAGAAGACGAAGATGAAAATGGAGAAAAGAAAAGAGGAATCGAAAAAAAAAAAAGTACGAAAAGAGAAAATCGACGAAAAGTAAATGTTATAACATAGAAAGGGTTACTGAATGAGGAATAACCAAAAAGGAGGTCGAAATGAAATGGTAATCTTTATAACATCAACAAAATACAATAATGGCCAGTGAAGTAGGTAGGTAAACCAGTGGTGGACTACTTAGACAGCATATCACCTCCACTTACAATAGTGTCCAAAGTATTTATGAGGATTGGAACATACCCGTTAGTGTTCATAGCTACGCTATATAACAATAGTTAAAATCATTTGCAGTGCATTTTTATAGTAAAAATCATTTCCTATGCATTTTCATTGTAAATGCATTTTTATAGTAAAATCATTTGCAATAGTAAAATCATTTGCAATGCATTTTTATAAAAAAAAATCATTTGCAATGAATTTTATAGTAAAAATCATTTGCAATGCATTTTATAGTAAAAAAAATTTTATAGTAAAAATCATTTCATTTTATTTTAAAAAAATCATTTGCAATGCATTTTTATAGTAAAAATCATTTGCAATGCATTTTTATAGTCATTTGCAATGCATTTTTATAGTAAAAAATCATTGCAATGCATTTTTTATAGTAAAAATCATTTGCAATGCATTTTTAAAAATCATTTCCAATGCATTTTTATGTAAAAAATTTGCATTTTTATATAAAAAATGCATTTTTTATAGTAAAAAAATCATTTGCAATGCATTTTATAGTAAAAATCATTTCCTATGCATTCTCATTGTAAAAAAAATCATTTGCAATGCATTTTTTATTGTAAAAATTTGCAATCATTTTTATAGTAAAAAATTATTTGCAATGTATTTTTATAGTAAAAATTTTTTTTCATAGTAAAAATCATTTGCAATGCATTTTTATAGTAAAAAATCATTTGCAATGCATTTTTATAGTAAAAAAATCATTTGCATTTTATGCATTTTCATTGTAAAAAATCATCATTTGCAAAAATGCATTTTTTATAGTAAAAATTTGCAATTTGTAAAAATTATCTTTATAGTAAAAATCATTTGCAATGTATTTTTTGCATAGTAAAAAATCATTTGCAATGTATTTTTATAGTAAAAAAAAATCATTTGCAATGCATTTTTATAGTAAAAATCATTTGCAATGCATTTTATAGTAAAAAAAAATCATTTCCATGCATTCTCATTGTAAAAATCATTTGCAATGCATTTTTATTCATTTGCAATGTAAAAAAAATCATTTGCAATGCATTTTATAGTAAAAATCATTTGCAATGCATTTTATAGTAAAAATCATTTGCAATGCATTTTAAAGTAAAAATCATTTGCAATGCATTTTATAGTAAAAATCATTTCCTATGCATTCTCATTGTAAAAATCATTTGCAATGCATTTTATAGTAAAAATCATTTGCAATGCATTTTATAGTAAAAATCATTTCCTATGCATTCTCATTGTAAAAATTTGCAAATCATTTTCAATGTATTTTGCATATTTTTATAGTAAAAAAATCATTTTATAGCAATTTTTATAGTAAAAATCATTTGCAATGCATTTTATAGTAAAAAATCATAGTTTTATAAAAAATCATTTCCATTTTTATGCAAATCTCATTGTAAAAAATCATTTGCAATGCATTTTTATAGTAAAAATCATTTGCAATGCATTTTATAGTAAAAATCATTTCCTATGCATTCTCATTGTAAAAATCATTTGCAATGCATTTTATAGTAAAAATCATTTGCAATGCATTTTATAGTAAAAATCATTTCCTATGCATTCTCATTGTAAAAATCATTTGCAATGCATTTTTATAGTAAAAATCATTTGCAATGCATTTTATAGTAAAAATCATTTGCAATGCATTTTATAGTAAAAATCATTTGCAATGCATTTTTATAGTAAAAATCATTTGCAATGCATTTTATAGTAAAAATCATTTCCTGTATTTTATTCTCATTGTAAAAAAAATCATTTGCAATGCATTTTATAGTAAAAATCATTTGCAATGCATTTTATAGTAAAAATCATTTCCAATGCTTTTTATGCATTTCATTGTAAAAAATCATTTGCAATGCATTTTATAGTAAAAAAAATCATTTGCAATGCATTTTATAGTAAAAATCATTTCCTATAGTAAAAATCATTCTCATTTTTATAGTAAAAATCATTTGCAATGCATTTTATAGTAAAAATCATTTGCAATGCATTTTATAGTAAAAAATCATTTGCATGCATTCTCATTAATAAAAAAATCATTTGCAATGCATTTTATAGTAAAAATTGGTAATCATTTCCTATGCATTCTCATTGTAAAAATCATTTGCAATGCATTTTATAGTAAAAATCATTTGCAATGCATTTTATAGTAAAAAATCATTTGCAATGCATTTTTATCATTTTGTAAAATAGTAAAAATTCATTTGCAATGCATTTTTTATAGTAAAAATCATTTGCAATGCATTTTATAGTAAAATCATTTCCTATTTTTATAGTAAAAATCATTCAATGCATTTATTGTAAAAATCATTGTAAAAAATCATTTGCAATGCATTTTATAGTAAAAATCATTTTGCAATGCATTTTATAGTAAAAATGTATTTTATAGTAAATTCCTTTTATAATAAAATTATTAAAATGTATTCTCATTTTTAAAAATCATTTGCAATGCATTTTATAGTAAAAATCATTTGCAATGCATTTTGCATTTTTAGTAAAAAAATCATTTGCAATGCATTTTTATAGTAAAAATCATTTCATTGTAAAAAAAAAATTTGCAATGCATTTTATAGTAAAAATCATTTGCAATGCATTTTTATAGTAAAAAAATCATTGGTAATGTATCATTTGCAATGCATTTTTATTGTAAAAATCATTTGCAATGCATTTTTATAAAAAATTTTTATAATAAAAATTATTTGCATTTTTTATAGTAAAAATGTATTTTCATAGTAAAAAATCATTTGCATTTTTATAGTAAAAATCATTTGCATTTTTATAGTAAAAAATCATTGGTAATGTATTTTTATAGTAAAATCATTTGCAATGCATTTTTATAGTAAAAAAAAAATTTGCAATGCATTTTATAGTAAAAATCATTTGCAATGCATTTTATAGTAAAAATTATTTGCAATGCATTTTAATAAAAAATAAAAAAAATCATTTGCAATGCATTTTTATAGTAAAAATCATTCTCATTTTTATAAAAAATCATTTAATGTAATTTTATATTTTTGCAATGCAAAAAAATCATTTGCAATGCATTTTATAGTAAAAAATCATTTCCTATGCATTTTCATTGTAAAAATTATTTGCAATGTATTTTTATAATAAAATTATTAAAATTTTATAGTAAAAATCATTTGCAATGCATTTTATAGTAAAAATCATTTGCAATGCATTTTTATAGTAAAAATCATTCTCATTTTGCATTTTTAAAAATTTTTGCAATGCATTTTATAGTAAAAAAATCATTTGCATTTTATAGTAAAATTATTTGGTAATGTATTTTTATAATAAAAAATTTTACAATGCATTTTATAGTAAAATCATTTGCAATGCATTTTTATAGTAAAAATCATTTGTAATGTATTTATTTTATAGTAAAATCATTTGCAATGCATTTTATAGTAAAAATCATTTGCAATGCATTTTATAGTAAAAATCATTTATGCATTCTCATTGTAAAAAATCATTTGCAATGCATTTTTATAGTAAAAAATCATTTGCAATGCATTTTTATAGTAAAAATCATTTTTTATATTCTCATTGTAAAAATCATTTGCAATGCATTTTATAGTAAAAAATCATTTTATAGCAATGCATTTTTTTAGTAAAAATCATTTCCTATGCATTCTCATTGTAAAAAAATCATTTGCAATGCATTTTTATAGTAAAATTTGCATTTGCAATGTATTTTTATAATAAAAATTATTACAAATGTATTTTCATAGTAAAAATCATTTGCAATGTATTTTTTATAGTAAAAATCATTTTTTAATGCATTTTGCATTTTATAGTAAAAATCATTTCCTATGCATTCTCATTGTAAAAATCATTTGCAATGCATTTTATAGTAAAAAAAATCATTTGCAATGCATTTTATAGTAAAAATCATTTCCTTTTTATAATAAAAATTCTCATTTTCATAAAAATCATTTGTAATGTATTTTTATAGTAAAAAAATCATTTGCAATGCATTTTATAGTAAAAAATCATTTCCTATGCATTCTCATTGTAAAAATCATTTGCAATGCATTTTATTATAAAAATCATTTGCAATGTAAAAATCATTTTATAGTAAAAATCATTTGCTATGCATTCTCATTGTAAAAATCATTTGCAATGCATTTTTATAGTAAAAATCATTTGCAATGCATTTTATAGTAAAAATCATTTCCTATGCATTCTCATTGTAAAAATCATTTGCAATGCATTTTTATAGTAAAAATTATTTGCAATGTATTTTTATAATAAAAATTATTACAAATGTATTTTCATAGTAAAAATCATTTGCAATGTATTTTTCTAGTAAAAATCATTTGCAATGCATTTTTATAGTAAATATCTCTTGCAATGTTCTTTTGTAGTAAAAACCACGTGCAATTTTAAAGGTTGCATGCCAGAAAAATTTTCTCGTCAGAATCTGTCTTGCACATTTATAAATCTAACATTCATCCATGCATCGAATACTGCCGCCATATCCTGTCTGCTGCTCCTGATGTCGTTGTAACCTAGGATTGTTTACTGAATGAGGAATAACCAAATTGGAATAACCAGGTTGGAAATTAAATGGTAATCTTTATAACATCAACAAAATACAATACTCGCCAACGACGTGAGGTAGGTAAACTATACTACAGTTGGATTACTTAAACAGCATATCAACCCCACTTACAATAGAATCCAATGTATTTATGAGGACTGGGACATACCTATCAGTGTTCATAGGTACGGTATATAACAGTGAGGCAAACAATGTGAAGAAAGGAAGAAAACAAAAATAGCAAGAGAAAACGAAAAAAAAAGGAGAAAAAAAAAGAAAAAGTGAAGGAAAAGAGAAAATGAAAAAGAAAAGAAAGATAAGAATAAAGGTAAAAGAGGAAAGTGGAAAAAATGAGTGACAAAAAAAAAAACGCAAAGGAAAATACAAGAAATAGACAGAAAGAAAATAAAAATAAAATGAAAAGGGAAAAGAAGGGAAAAAGAAGAGAAAATAAGAAATAAAAAGAAAAGAAAAAAAAGGAAAGAGACATGAAAAGAAGAAAAGAAAGCAAAACAACAAAAAAAAACGCGACATGAAATGAAAGAATGGAAGAATAAGGGAAGGGATAAAATAGGAAAAGTAAGAGAAAAATAGATAAAAAAGAAAAAAGAAATAAGAAAAGAAAACATAAAATAGAGAAAGGGGGAAGTGAGAAGAAGAACATATGGGAAAAGAAAAAAAAAAGAAAGCACAATGAAAAGAGAAAAGAGGAATATCAAAACAAAAAGGAAAAGTAAAGGAAATGCAAAAGAGACAATAAGAAAAAGAAGAAAGAGAGAAAAAAAGCGAAAATTCCAGAAAAATAAATAAATAATCAAAGATCAAAAGGAAGGCGGAATAAACAGAAAAAATATGAAGAGTGATCAGATAAAACGAAAATGAAGAAAAAGCAACAAAGAAAAGAGAAAAAAAAAGGTAAAAAAAGGAAGATTAAAAAGAAAACGAAATATAAAAATGAAAAAAAGAAAGATAAAAATGTAAATATATGAGAAAAAATGATGCAAAGAATGTGAAAGCAGAAAAGAAAGAAAAAAATGAAAGAAAAAGAAAATGAAAGAAAATATTTGTCGTTTTAAAAAAGGTTCAATTCTTTATTATTATAAAAACGTTCCCGGACGATATGGTGGAGTAATACATTGCATCTCGGATTAAAGAATCATTAAAGCCACGTTCAAATTCCAGTAAAATTGATTATATTCTGTCACGTTTAATTGTCCTTACAATCTCATGGATACATAGACTGGGTTCTATATCTTTGGATGGAAACGGGTCTAGGTGAAGAAAACCTCTGCATTTTAATTTAAATTTGAAATTTTTACTCCAACTATGGGTAAAAAAATGACGTTCTCTGATCTGTAGCAATAGTTGGCACATGAGATTAAGACAAGAACAACTCTGAAATCAAATCCGGGGTCCTTAAGAGAGTCCGATGTCATATTAAATTTCGTTGTTGCAAATCCTGCGATAATGCCGGTGACAAGTAATATTGAATGACCGATCAAATTTATGACTAGAAAACTTTCCACATTTTTAACTTCAAGACGATTTCTTTTGCATAATTAATTATTTTAATGGCAAAACTTACATTATCTAAATTATTCAATGAAACCTGTCTTAATGAAAACATGCTGTCAAAATATACACAATATATATTGTATATATATATATATATATATATATATATATATATATATATATATATATAAATTATAAATACTCGCTTTTTTAAATTTTTTTTGTTCAATAAAGTACACCTTCCACGTTGTTTGGCTTATAATTATTTTTGTCACGTGGTCATGGTTATTTTTGGTTTTAGCTTTTAAATTTCGGCCGGCATTACCCTGACGATCCGTTTAAGTGAAACCTAGGTAGATTTGCCTGGCTCCTTAAGATTATCTTTTATATATATATATATATATATATATATATATATATATATATATATGTATGTATAACCAAGTATATAACCATGTATACGGAATAATTTCCAATAGCCAAAAAAGATTATTCTTAAAAGAATGCTCAATACAGAGTAGAGCAAATATAATTATTTATTCGAAAATTATAACATAAATATGTCATAAAATCACTAAAAATAGCCATTTTGTTTCAAAACTTATGGTGTCTTTTCAAGTGATGCTGTTGAATGTAGAATATTCTACATTCATTACCATCACTCGATAAGACACCAGAGGTGTTGAAACAAAATGGCTATTTTTGTAGTATTTTATGACATACTTATGTTATAATTTTCCAATAAATAATTATATATATATATATATATATATATATATATATATATATATACATGAAAATACGTTAAGGAAACGATATATGATCTTCTAAAATAGAAATTCAACATCAATCTTTTGGTCTCTGAATCCTGTAAATTTTATTGTCCACTCTCAGTGTCTTGTTGTCTCAGTAACTCGTTGTATCTTTTATTACCCTTGCTTGGGGTGACATGATTAAGAGAAGTTCGAAGACAGAAATAAAAAGAAATCAAACGCAATTTAGATTTAAAATGAAAAAAAAAGAGAAAAGATGCAATTGTGAACGTAAAAAATGATAAATAGAAACGAACAGTAACTTGAACAAAGGAGGAAAATTTAGAAAAAAAAGAATAAATGATAAAGGAATCAAAATCCATAGAAAGAATGTTTATCTATCAATCCATCTATCCATCTCTCTAATAACTGTATATTGATGCCTCTATATATTTATCTATCGCAGTTTGTTCATATCTATCTATCTATCTATCTATCTATCTATTTCATACACTCTCACACTCTGTAAGTCCATGCGTTCTCGTGACATTGCCGTCTTGCTTGAGTTGAAACGATTAATATGGGAATACGCGTACACACGCGAGCGCGCGCACACACACACACAGAAAAAATAAGTTTACAAGAATGTAAACTGCATATATAAAAGAAGAACAAGAAAATATACAGTCAATTGTTAATATCCTCTGATGAGTGGATGGAGTGATTGACAATTGTTCCATTTGCGAAATTCTCAAACTGGGTTGCTGAAGATAGCACCAATCAGCTAACAGATTTTATATTTGTATTAATTGTGTATATATATATATATTATTTATTCAAAAATTATAACGTAAGTATGTCATAAAATTACAACAAAAGTAGCCATTTTCTTTCAACACTTCTGGTGTCTTATCAAGTGATGGTGTTGCATGTTTGTTCAATATATATATATATATATATATATATATATATATATATATATATACAGTGAGTGTGTGTGTACGTATGTTTGTTGTGTGTGTGTGTCTGTGTGTGTTTGGTGTGTCTGTGTAGAATCGCCATATTTGCTCCTTGAGACCTGTACTCTTACCGACAACTCTCAATGTCTTTTACTCTTAGTAATTCCTTTTGTTTTTTATCGCCCTTGCTTAGGGTGACATGATTAAGAAAAGTTCGAAGACAGAAATAAAAATAAATAAATAAAGCGCAAATTAGATTTAAAATAAAAAAAGAGAAAGGAAGCGATTAAGAAGGCAAAAGCGATAAATCGAAACGAACAGCAAATTGAACAAAGGAGAAAGAAAATAGTTTAAAAAAAAAAAGACATAAATAAATGAAAAAAGGAATCAAAATTCAATGAAACAGAAAGAAACGTATAAAATGGCCAAGTATTTGCTGTAACAGTAACCAGAAAATAAATACGTACACACATACGCCAGAAAAGAAAGAAAAAAAAAAACAGTACTTCGTCACGAATATAACAAATAAATAGTGGGAGCTAACTCTTGACTAAATCTTAAGATTGGAGAGCTTTTCACAATCTCATAAAAACTTTTCCAACCTTTGCGTTTAATTCGCTTAGGAGAAACACTTCTTTTTCCTGTCCAGTTTCAACGAAGCAGGAGAGGGTTTTTGTTGAGATGGGGAAAAATGGTTTGGATAAGTCGAACGGTAGAAGGAAAGACGTCGATTGTTGAGTTGACGGCTGCAGGTTAGGTCGACATTTTCTCGAGCTGAATTCCAGTAAATTCGACGAACGAATGGTGTGAGGTGAAGCAACTCAATAAGGGGAAGAATCGGCATCAAAAATCCGAAAATCGAATCAATGATTTCGGAATGGAAGCCAGCGTCCTGGAATGGCGTAGACTTCACGGAAGACGGAGGAATGAATAATAGGATAAAGAAAAAGAATAAAATATTTATCTGGTGTAAAAAAAAAATAATAAAAAACAATGAACAGAGAAAACGATTATTTAGCCTTACCTATTACGAATCCATAAAGTTACAATTATTTATTACAGTAGAGAAAAAATGGTTGCTCTAACATTTGGTCAGCACTCCCAATATAAATATATATATGTAGTTGAAGTGTGGACAAATTAAACGGCCTAAAATAAGCAAACGTGTACGCGTGTGCTGGTGGGCAAACGCTGGCAAACAAATAAATAATGGTTAAATTTATGCATGGGGGGGTGGGTAAACGTCATAATGCCTGCTCAATGCAGTTATACAGATCAAAAATATGTATTAATTAGTACATAAACATACACGCCAAAACGTAGGCACGCGTATATTTACTAACTAGCAGTAGAGCCCGGCGTTGCCCGGGGATGTAACAGTAAGAGATAGATCAAGTATCGACCATCATAAAGACTGAAAAATAAAATTAACAAAGATTATTGTTTTCGGTTGACGGACACGCATGTCTTAATTATTTTTTTCTTTTTTTTTCTTTTAAGAATTGGTCAAACCCAAACTCAAACAAAAACATTGTTTTCAATCATTATGAGTCTACCGATTGAATAGAATTTTATTATAAACAATTGTCTTGTAAATGGAATTTTTAAAGCATTCTGAATGTAAAAATAAAGAAAAAAGTGTGCAAGACAATAAGAAACACTACCTGCCAAAAAAAAAGTGAAGGTTTGTTGAAATCGGTTGAAAAATGTAGGAAATACGATCCCATATATAAACGAACACAGACACAAACTCATAAACAACCTGGGTTTTATACTAAGTATAACTCGATATGAGTTGTCCCTCTTTCATTCTCGACAACGATGCCTCTTAATCGTGTTTTCAAATTGATTTCGTGCAAAAACAATTGTGTTTTTCCAATTTTTGGCGCTGTCAGAACCATCGCAAGGTGATTTTACGTAGTCCTGTGAAGATTTGTGGAAATCGGTTGAAAAATGTAGGAAATCCGATCCAATATATAAACGAACAGACACACGCACACACACACAATCTGCGTTTTATAATAAGTATGATTAATATATATATATATATATATATATATATATATAGAGAGAGAGAGAGAGAGAGAGAGAAAAGATATGTATTCATTATTAAATATATGCGTCACTTTGTTTTACCAAAATAGAACCCGTTCCCAATGAACTGTGAACACCACCCAGAGAAACTGTAGTCGAACGCTAAAAACACGTACATGTACTAATATATATATATATATATATATATATATATATATATATATATATATATATATATATATGAGTCGATTAACCCGAAGTACGTCAACAATGCCGCTAGAATCCATTAAGTTACAGAGTGAAAGTGAAAGAGACACAGACACACACGCGCGCGCACACACACACACACCACACACACACACACACATATATATATATATATATATATATATATATATATATATATATATATATATATATGGCTAGCTTGCAACCTTGCTAGATAGATAGATAGATAGATAAATAGATAGATAGATAGATGTGGACGCGGAGGTCAACACCGAAAAACAGCAGTCTATTTACTGCTTGCACATAATCTACCGATGTATGGTGTTTTACACACACCCTGTATCCGATGCAGAGCACTTTTTCTCATAAATATTCAGTATCTTAAAAGCTATATTTTCATCTAACATACATGCATGCATGCATACATGCAATCATCCATCCACCCATACAGTTTAAAGTTTACCTTGCTAATCGAATGATCCTCTGTGGCCCAGTAGGTTAAGACACGTCAGGCTAAATGACCGTTTTGTATAGGATACAGGTTTGATTACTGTCGGAGGACGAATATTTTATATGAAAATCTCTTGGACATTTAGGCTGGTAAAAGTTGTTAATACTGTTTATTATAAACAGAGAATTTACCTAAATATTTGTATCTATAAAAACAATGTATAAACATAAAAATGTCTTAAAATGATTGTCGGACATTGTCCATTTCATAATGTGTGACGTCATTTGTTTACATTTGGATACGCATTGAGCAGATATGAATGTACGTGAGAGAATCATGGAAGATTGTAGTTTAAAGACAGTAAAATCGAACTTGCTAACCGAACGACCCTCTGTGGCTCAATCGGTTAAGGCACGTCACGCAATATTCAGTTTCGTGTCGGAGCACGCATATTTTCAATGAAAGTTTCTCGGACATTCAGACCGGTAACTATCGTTAATTCTGTCTATTATAAACAGGACATTTACTTAAATATTTGTATCTATAAAAAGAATGTATAAACATAAGAATGTCTTAAAAAAGAACTTTCTAAATGCTATGACTAAATAAACTTTAAACGACATGTTTACTGACTTGGATGAGCTGAAGCTCAAAAATTTGGGATTTGTTTACATTGATTGCCCTCAATCCCAATTATCTTTACAAAAAAATATCTATGAAAATTATTAACTTACAAAGAGAAAGCCATATGGTTAATTAGCAAGATCGCCGAAGATCAAGATGTTTCTTTTTTCTGCGACAATTGTCTGCAGATTTATAATTATTATTTTTTGAATTCTGGCTAAAAATGCTTTGCTGGTAAGAAAAGCTGGTCAATTTACTTGATATGGAAATAAAGAACTTGCGGATTGTGAATGTAATTTTGCGGCTAGGTGAAGCGATCAATCTATCAGCAATCTATCGTGTGAGAATAAAATTCTACAAGATCTTTTTCCTTATTTATCTGCCCTAGAAATTGAAACACTCCTTTCCAGATGTTAATAATAAATGCCATTTTTCTTTCTTTCCATTTTCTCTAAAATTTCGTCATTGCTCACATGTTTGGTCCATGGTATTCTCAGCATCATCCTGTAGAACTACATATCTATTGCATCAAGTCTTTTTTTTTTATCTGAGATTAAGCATTCTTTACGTTTAGCGTCAAAAAATTGCAACCTCATTTTATTGCACTTCTTCCCTCGATACACCACGTGCGCAAGCACACACACACACACACACACACACACACACACACACACACACACAGACACACACACGCGCGTGTGTGTGAGAGGATGTAAAATAAGATATAGAATCCCGACAAAGTTTTGAAGAAATATGACAAAAGTTAAAACATTTCATTTAAACTAGATTTGATTAA